GCTTAAGTAGTGCGTAGTATATATGGTGATAACGTTAGATGAAAGAGTGCACCTTATCTCTTGGTTGTGGACCACAGGGCTATTGTTGAACAGCATTGACACAGTAGACAATGAAGTGTGAGACAAGCACAGGCATAGAAAAGGAAAAAGGTGAAAGAGCTAGAGTGGTTCAACAGAGATATTGGAGTTGTGGTACCATGACAGAAGACAGAACAGAATAATGCCAAAGGAAGACTAGGTGCTATGCACATCTTAATGTGTTGTGTCCCAACTTGAAGCATTCTCTAGCCGAAAAGCCTTCCTTTGAAAAAGAAACCCCACTATCCTTTTCCAATTCCTAGTGCTCTCGGGATGACATACATGTAGCTTCATTAGATCTAACCATTAACCACACTTTTTTGATTTGCAGTGCACAAGTTATCAATCAAAATGGTCAATGATCATTGTCATTGGGGGGTAATTCAAGTTTATATATTTTCCATTCTATGTATCACTTCTACGTCTTGAAAAAATAATCGCATGACACTGCATTTCATGTTTGCCAGAAGCACTTGTTTAACTACTAGGAATTACTCATGCTTCCTCCTGTGTTGTTAATTAATGTGGCCCAACTTAGGATGAGTGGGCTGGGTTAAGTTTGGGTTTGGTTATTATTTCATCTTCAGATTATTTATTTTAGTATATATCAATGGCAAGAAAGTTAAAACTTGAAATTTCGTAAATATTACCCAAATATTCACTACAGCCCTAGTATGGTAAATTGGAGAATGTGTTTAATATATAAAAGGTGGAAATGAAAAATTAAAACTAAACTCTGTTTTTATTCGAGAAGAGAAACCCATGCATCCATCTTTCTTCTTAAATTAAATTTATTTATTAATAATTTTAAATGAATCATATTAAGCTATTAGCTGCATTTTAATTCAAATAATAAATAAAATAAATAATAAGAATTAATACAAAATAATAAATATAAAGAGCTAAATTATATTTTAGTAAATTGTATAGTTTTAATTTTATAATTATAATTTAAATCAATGATTAATTTGAAAATTTTTAATTATTATAAGAAATGAGAGCGTGAACAAATATTTTTACTGTTTTATATATAAACATACTCTTATATATATATATATTTAAATGATGAAAACCTTTTTTATTAAGTCAGTATTCTCATACATCCTTGTATTAAATTAATTATTATATTATTTTAGTTAGATTAGTTTATCAAATTCATCTGCCAAGTGAATTGCAAAATATTATATAATATCTTTTATTAATACATAGAATTTTCTGTAGTCTATTCAAACGACGAACTAATTTTTTTATTCAAAAAGAACAAATCGGCACATATATCCTACATTTAAATGAATTTATGGAGATAATAAAAGAAAATTGTCTAGTTGTCTTTGCAAAAAAGAATTTCAAGCAAAGCTACTTTTCTAGGATATCAAGTTTATCGGGGAATTATAACTGATTCAAAGATTTTCAGAATTTGCACAAAAAATTAATTACGTAGCAGATTGTATACATCATCTCCCTTTTGGATTTATATTTCCAACACACACTTTTTTGACATGATATATAAAGAATTAAATAAGTTATTAGTTATACTTTGTAGAGATATAAAACTAATACTTGCATTGCATGAGCTTTGCTTGGGGTGGCTAAAAAGCAGTTGGAGAACGTTTGGAATCCATGCACTTTAAAAGGTTATTTAGCTTCATTCTTAATGCATCTAAGTCACACTGCATGTCGAGCCCACTTGTACAACTCACAAGAATATCACCTTGACATCAAAAAGGAAGGAGGAAAAGTGATATATATGCAAATACTCCTCAACTCAACCCTTGTAGTTTGTGAATGTGATGTAACCAAAACTTAGAAAACATCACAAGTGTGGGCCAGAGATGAAAAAGGTGTGGATCATATCTTAGAAAATAAATGAAATGGGCCAAAGTCATGATGCCTTAATAGGCCTTGAGCCTTCAACCTTGAATAATCTATTCTGGTGGAACTGCATGCATCACCTAATAACTATTGTGTTCTTTTTGTCCATGTCGAATAATTCATTTCATAGTACCCCGTAGACTACAGTAAATTCTCTCATTAATGACCTCTACAGTCGCAACATTACTGAAAGAATAATAACCCAACTTGACAAATTTCAACAAAATATATGGGAATTGGGAAGTAAGATATAGGTGAACAGTTCGTGTTAACAACTGTCTTGTCTTGTAGGCGACTCTAATAAAACTATAATAGAATAAAACTCTTATTAAAAGTCAAATTTGTAAGAATGTTAGTGTGGACACCTACACCCATAACATGATTTTGAGATAGATTTTCCTACGAAATTTATTTATTAATGTCAAAGTTTGTTCATTAAACAATGATATCAAATTTCGTTTGAGTTATAAAGAATACTAAATTATTGAATTGTTATCTCATAATATAATGAGATTTTTATTATGTATTCCTTAATACATAATAAGAAGTTAAAATATTATTTATTAGAATATAAAAACACAAAAATATTGAATATATATTTTGTAAAATAATTTTAAACATTTATATGGTTTATATACTAATTTTATAACATGTACTTGATGAACACAACATACAATCATATATGCTTAATAATGAATGGAAAAAAAAAAAAAAAAAAA